TTTTTTTTTTTAGCTATAGTGCCATATTATAGAGATTATGCTAATGTAATCTCAACTTTATTTTAATAATATCTATATTTCTATAAAAAAAAATTGAATTAATAAAACAAATAAAATTTTGAGTATAAACTAAAATAACCATTTCATTTCACTATTCATCTCTCAAATTGCAAATGGTACATGAGAAAGTGACTGTTTTCACGAATATATGTTCATTTCCTTTAACAATTTATAGGAAATATATTAATTACAATTGCCACTGAAATCTCATAAAAAATACACAGTTCCGCGTTCTTGTGGAGGAGGCTAGAGAGATCTTCCTTCACCTGATCATGCCTAGTGTAGTGGAGAAAATCATTCTCTCCGTGTATACAAATGGCATGCCCTTTTTTATTGGTTTGGGATGCATATCCCCATGATACAACATAATTCTCTCTCCGCTTAGACATTTTAAAGACAAGCTAGTAACCTAACCATGCTGATGGAATTGGTTGAAACTTGTTCTTAGCCAGGGCCAACACATCATAGTAATCTGCTTGATTGAAGCAGTCACGAAAATCTGTCAAAAGCTTCTCAAACACCCTCCATTGGACTTTAATTGATCTTGAGTAGGGGTATGGAAGGAAAACCTGCACGAAACCAACAAGATGTGAGAAAGAAAAGAAAGTAAAGCAGCTTCCTTTTATGTTTCAGGGGAGCTGCCTCAATTCTAACTACAGAGTTGGAGGGGGAAGGGTGGGAAGGAGAAGGGGTGAGGCTGTTTGAACAGCTCGGCAAGGGAAACCCAGATCAGAGATTGCATATAATCTAGATTACTTACCAGTTTCCCTCTTCCGAATGAAGTACATACTAAAGCTACTAAAGAAGTTACAGAACAAGTGCATAAATGTGAATGTGTTTTTGTGTGTCGGTGCATTTACTGTGCTTATCTAATTGCATATATGTATGTTTTTGTAAGCGTTGCTGGTGCACATGTAGAGGTACAATGGAAGAGAAATGAGCCTCTGGAGAGTAGCTTACATCCCCCTCTAAAGCAAGACGCTTGAGCAAATGAAATGTCCGCTCATTTTCCTCTAAATTGTCAAGGACTGCCAGCCAAATCCGTGATGCAAGCTCATGTGCCATGTCTCTTGATTTACCACAAGCTATAAATTGATCTGACAAAAGCAGAATATTTTTTTCCTCGTAAAGAGTTAGCAAACAGACTCTACAGGAAATAAGAAGAAAAAAATTTGCAGCCATTTTTTTTAAAGCTAAATTTTTAGTTTCCATAGTTCAGTGATCTAATACTGCAAAATCAGTTTCTATGGTGGAGTTTTACTTGATGTTTATTCTAATTACACCATTTACACTTGACAACGCATGAGCAAGACGAGATGGACATTCAAGACAAAACTGACATCATGCAAAAATAATACCATGAAAAATGACAAAAGCACACCAGCATAGCACATTCTACATCATGATAATAACATTGCTAACATACACACATCCATACACACCCCACCCACACCCCCAATTCGCCAGTAAATCATCATCATCTAGCCATTTAGCTACAGGTTGCATGTATTCCAATCAGAAAAGTAGCCGTTTCAAACATCTCCATTGGGCAAAAGCAAGCATAAACCAAGTTATTGCTAGACATAAGATTGTAAGGGGGAGATCTTTGAGCCATACAATATGTGGAATCTTTCACGTCTGATTGTCTAAGGTTTCATGGCCCCAACATTTTTATTTCAGGTGATAAACTACTCACAATGTGATAGTCAACTCAAAAATGGAAACAAATTATATTTACCTAAAAAAAGAAAATATTCAAAGCTTATGAGCAAACAAAAAGATGAAGAGGATAGAAGCCACACCAATTATGGTTCCATGAAGCACCCCAGAAGAAAGTGGCATAGTTGAATGCTCAAGCTGCTCTTTCAAAAACAAAAATGTATGACCAATAATCTCATCTATCTCCTCATCCAGTTCAAAGAAGCGTTTACTAACATACAGGGCAGCAAATCTTCTGAAAATATCAGAAAAACTATTAGAAAATGAAAAAAAATTATTAAAGAAATGTAAAGAAAAGGTAGGTACATGGAAAGAACCATTCCATTTATTACTCCATAAGATATACAAATTCGCAAGACACAAATGCAAAAGCAAACAATTCTGTGAAAGAATGGAGTCAATTACAAAAAGAAGTGTAACCAAGTTCCGGTATGGATGTCCATAGAGAGACCATCGGTGCATTATCTATAGCTGGATCATTCATTAAAACACATCTAACTACATTTTGTAGGGAACTTACACATACTAAAGACACTCTTCCAGACTAGGAAGTAATGTCATTACTACTAATGATGTAAAAGCAAAATAAATAAAGAAATAAAAGTTATACCCATTTTACTAAATAAAAGAGGACAAAGAATATAAGCTACTATAGGGGAAAACAAATATGACATGTATGTTATGGGTTTTGTAGATATAATCTTCAAGATCTCACAAGTACATTGAATAGCCAATCTTTTTATTAATCAAAATACCTTCTGAAATAAGTAGCATCAAATGTCCCAACGAGAGAAACTTTGCCATGTTTTGGAGGAAAAAGGGAAGGCATACTGCCTAAATGCCCAAAAAGACCTAAAATGAAGTTGCAATAGAATATTAAACTAAATTTTGTAGTTATTAGAAATAATAACTTTATGATGTCTGTCACCTGAAATCAATCAATGAAGATTTACAGAAGACTAAGAAGAGCTGAACAAAGGCCTAAACCTTTGTTTAGAATAAAAGGCTTAATACGAATTTAAATAACAGAAATCATATTTCCCTAGCAGTAAATCAATTCTCCATCAGAAAGTTATAAGGCTTTCCTCCATGATTTGCAATTACAATGGAGAAGTTGAAAGAAACAACCTTTAATCAAAAGGGAGGGGGAAGGAGCAAAACTGAAGGACATTTAAGAATTAGAAGGAGGATTTCTAGATGGTGTATTCAACCTTTTACTATGTCCTCGAGGAATAGGTCCAGGCCACCTTTTAACTTGGCTAACCAAAGGAAATGTCCTAGTAAGAGCAGCCTGCCACAAGCATTCTCCACGAAACAAATTGGCCCATTGCTTTCTGACACAAGACACTTGCCCCCACTCTGAAACTGGCACTCGGATGAAAATTTCAATCAGGAGATGGTCAGGAAGCTTTCCAAAGGAATTATCACCCAATGTCAAAGTATCATTGTCCTTATCCTTATTATCCGTCATTATAATTCTGCAAAGCACGTAAAAAACCCATCATCTGAAAACGAACATGAAACTGCCACTGGAAATTTGGAAGCAGTAAAATTATGTCATACAGACTGTTAAATGCAAACAATATCAAAGAAAATTGCAAACTGTATAACCTCTTTTAACATGTTATTAGTTGACAAGGGTATTGTTGGTTTTCAGCTGGGAGAAAGCACATGCACGTTCCGATCAAGCATGCTGTCATACAATGTGATTAAAACAATCATGGAAAGGTATAAGAAACAGTGGATATAAAGATTGCAACAGAGGGCAACAAAAGACCAACAAAATCATATCAATGCTTAAAAATAAAGGAACACAATATTAACCCATTAAGAAGAATATTCAGCAAAAGCAGAATGAGCAAAAATACCCCAACAAATTAAAAAAAAAAAAAAGATATATAAAAACTAATTCTATAGACCCCATTCAACAACAGATGCTGAATTCAGAGAAACCCATGTTTTATTTTGATCTCAAATTACCCACAAATATGGAGGAACAGAAGAAGCGATGATGATTTCTTCAAGAAACGGAAAATTACCTGAGACGAGAGTCGGAGGCACAAGGCTGAATTGAATTGAGAATTCTGAAGAGAGAGGTAGCTGGAGCTGCTGAAGTGAACGTCTGAGGCCTTTATTTTTTTGTTGTCCTAAAACAGGCTAACACTCAACATCCGGGGGTTCATAATTACCATATGAGCCCCCAATCTTTCAATAATAGTTCATTTTGCCCCATAAATCGCATTACCTCGACTTTTACTTCACCGTATTTTTTTTTTTTCTCGGTTTCTCATCCACTATCTGGGGTTTCGCCCTAATTAATCCAGATCCGACCCGCGTCGTGCACCTGAAAATGGTGGGTGAATTACTTCACCTTAATTTTTCCGTTAACTTAAACAGAAATCAGACGAGACGCTTGGGTGGTTGGGTGGACTGGAGCCTACAAGTCCTGAAGAAGCCGGGAAAACCCTACATTAAGTCATTGAAGTTACTCTAAATTCTCAATTAAATTCTTAAATTTTTATTAAAGTAAATAAACTTTTAAATTTAGTATTTTTTTTATGACATACTTAAGCCTGTAACTAGTATTAACTTTATTTATATAAATAAAGTACAAAAAAACATTAAGTCTATTGTAAAAAAATAGTTATAATGTTCAGAATACTAAATTGATGGATTTATTTATTTTAATAAAAGTTTAAGGGCTTAATCAATAATTTAGGATAAGTTTGAAGGCTTAATGTAAGGTTTTACCAATTTTAAAATAAAGTTATTTAAGAGTGGTGGTTTAGTAGTATAAATCCGATGTCATTATTTTGTCTTGCTTATTAGTGTTTTACTTTTTAGATTTTGGCTCTTGCCCATTTTGTCTAATGATGTATATACTAAATAATGAAATTCACTTAGGAAAGAGAATATATGATAAAATTTAAAAGGTAAAATATTAAGTTAAATACTAAAGTGAGAAAATTTAACTATTATTTGTTAAAATAAATATAAAGAAACATATAAAATTTTTGTAAGAAAGCAAATAGAAAAGGAAGCATAGAAATTGAATGCAACAAAAAGAAAGATCTTAGCCAGACAAATAAAAAAAAGAAAAAGAAAAATAATTATAAACCTTAGTAAATTTCAGTAGACCAAAAGTTAGCACATATTAATCTTGATTCAAAATAATCAAGGACCAACATGACTATTTGGGAAAAGTTTAAGAACTATTATTTCCTTTATTTTTTATGGGTGAGAAATTGTAAATTCAGTACATCAAGCACAGCCAGATAAAGATATTTCCTCAACTTCGCCCTCGCGTCTGATTTTGTGTTTTCCCAACTCCCTACCCCCTCATGGCTTCCCTGTTTCTCTATGCATCCTTAAACCCCAAACTCCCAAGGGCCAAAACTATTCCAGCAAGAGACACCGTCATTGATTTTGGCAAATACAGAGGCAAGATGCTGGGCAGCCTCCCATCCAACTACCTCAAATGGGTCTCCACCAACCTTCGTGCCAGCCATTACCTCCACTGGGCAAATCTGGCTCAAGAGGTGCTTCAAGACCCAGTTTACAGGGACAGGATGGAGTGGGAATTTGCTCAGAATGTTTTGCAGGGAAACAACACCTCTTTCCCCAGAAATCAAAATGCAGTTTCCTTGTTGTCGGAGATAAATGAGAGATTCAGTTGGGATATGGAAGATAAAGTTGGTTGGGGCAAGGTCGACTTTGAGCTGTTGGGGACAAGCAAAGGTGGTAGAATACCAAGAACTGGCAATAACAGTGGTGGAAGAAGAGGGAAGGCAGAGTTGAGAAGAGAAAGAGCTGGTGGAGTGAGTGGGGAAAAAGCCGGTGGAAGGAGCGGGGAGAGGAGGAGAGAGAGGAGAGAGCGAGGGAGGTTGAAGAGACAAGACAAGGTGTCAAAGATTGATCCAGTTGCAGAGGCAGAGCAGAATAGGGGAGATGGAGATGGAGGGCAAAGCCAAGATGTTTACAGCCCATTTCCTGGACGTGAAGCTCTCCTCAACAAGGTGTTGAACCGTAAAAGACTTCTGTAATTGTTTTGGATTGAAGACCATTGCCTATTTGGAGATAATAATAGTGTAAATTTCGTTTGCATTTTGATTATCCATCTGCTCTTCATTGATGCTAATAGACCTTAACAGATCACGATGTAGCCAATTTACAACACTTAATCAGTAGATGTAGCTGCCACACTTTGTTTCTTAAGTTCATGGAACATAACAGCAACAGGGCTCTCTGTAACGCCGAAAGCCATAGGGGTTGCTCACCAATATTTCTAAACACAAGTCTGTTTCCGAGTCCAGCAAATGCAGCTCCTACTGATCTTACTGCTTGAATCTTCGATGCTGCAGTTAGTTGTTTCTTGTTTCCAACTCTACAGAATTTGGCCAAAACACCTCTTTTAGAACTTCCCAACACATGCATGTGGAGAAACTGTATCAAGCAAAAAAAGGCCTATGCATCACGCATTTGTGTCATTTGCTTCATCTGTTGTTTCTTAAAGGTGCCAACCTTGTTTTCACTTCCCATAGTGAAAGGCTCTCTTATCTCCAATTTGGATATGATATCATCCAATTTATATTAGCTTTTATAACTGTTGAATATAATTAACACAGATCCTTGCTGCCTCACCCACAACTTGGAAGTAACAGCAACTGATTGTGATTCCCAGTAAAGCATTGTTGTAATCAACCATTAAATACCAAATGCTTACTTGTTCTTCTTAAACCTAATGATATCTCTTCCCTTGCAGACTGAATCAGCATTGTTTTGTGTCACTCCGGTCCTGGTGAACAGACAAGGATAGCTTTTCCAATCTCTAATCTTCAAAGAAAGAAGATAGAAAGTTAACAAAATAAGAATTGCAAACAGGAAAAAGGAAAAAAGAGTTATTGCTTTGGTTAAGATGTGCACCATTGTGACGGCACAGCCATTCAGGCTTCTCTTTTTGTTCCAAGTATTAAAAACTTTTCAGCACCAAATGCCAATCCTGAGTTGCCATTTTCTGCTCCAGGCTTCTGGCTTCTGGCTTCATCCCAAAATAGAAATGCATAACTGTTAACAAAATTACCAACGACTGACTAATATATTACTCTTAGTAGTTTTTAAATAATATAGTTTAACTTAATGGAAAAGCAATTTTATACTTATCATTCTCTAGATCTCTGTTTTCAGAGAGCAAGTGCAGTTCTTAAAATATTAATGCTAGTACTTTAGGACAAAGAGAGGGAACGCACAAGAGCAGAAAATAATTGCAAAGGTGAATAGCAGAATGTTAAGGAGCTCCAGATTGTATGTATGTGACACATGAGAACACTAATCATCCACATTCTGCCAATCAAGCAGAATGACAAAAATATCAATTCTCCCATTCGTCTTTATCATCCACATAAGATTGATGGGTCCAAAAAGTAGTTGCATGTTCAATTGTGAACCAAAAATAAAACTTAAAATGAAATTGAAGTAGTTCTACCTTTTCAACATGGTTGCAAAAGCACTATCTTCTCTGCCGAGGACAGAGAGCTATATCCTGGATTCTTTACTGCCTTGCTTTCACGCATTAATTTACGTATCTCACCAGCATTTTCCCAAGCACCAGCAGCAGCATACGTGCTAGCTAAGGCAACATAGTTAGCTGACTTCTTTGGATCCATATCAAAAAGATGCGAGGCTGCTACTTCTCCTAAAGTCACATTACAATGGATGCTACATGCCCCAAGAAGGGCACCCCAAAGTGATGCAGTTGGTTTAATATTCATTTCCTGTATCAAATTATAAGCAGCTTCAAACTGCCCTCCACGTGCAAAGAGATCTACCATACAAGAAAAATGCTCTGTTCGGGGTAAGATTTTGTATTTGCTAACCATATTGTTAAACAATTCTGATCCTTCACCAAACAATCCACTATGACTGCAAGCAAAGAGAAGAGACAAGAATGTTATGTCATTTGGTTTGAATCCTTCACATTCCATCTTCTTGAACAGAGCAATTGCCTCATGTCCATACCCATGCTTTCCATATCCAGCAATTAGTGAAGTCCATGAAATCACATTTTTCTCATTCATCTCACTAAAAACCTTGTTAGCATCTTTGATCTCTCCAGATTTTGCATACATATCAATGAGAGCATTGCCCATGGCAACATCATTACTAGATGGGCATTTTAAAGCCAAAGCATGTATTTGTCTTCCCAGGTTTAGTTGTGCCATGTTAGCACATATGTTAAGCATGGAGCACAGTATGATATTATCCATTCCTATTTGCATTGACAATATTTCTTTGAAAAGATCCAATGCATCTCCATGGCACTTGCCCTCACGTGCATAGCCAGTGATCAATGCGGTGCAAGATATTACATCCTTTCTATTCATGCTCTTGTATACCTGAGAAGCACATGTTAGGCTTCCGCATTTTGCATATGCATCAACCAGTGATCCAGTCAACACATGATTTAATTCAAACCCTAGTTGAATGATCTGCCCATGTACTTGACAAACCTTTATAAGACTGCTAGATCCAGCACAGACTCTCAAAATACTTCCTAAGGTGAAGCAGTCAGGGATTTCCCCTATTGAAATAGATTATATCAGAAACGGTAGATAAATTTTAAAGAGTATATTATTAAAAAGAAAAAGGAAATTAAGTAAGAAACAATAATATATCCATGCCTGCCAAACAAATAAGAAAAGATGTCAAAATCAGAAAATGTCATGAAGGAAATTGCTACATCATCAATCATGTCAAATACTCTTAGAAGGGAGTAAAATTTAGTTCTTAAGAAAAAGATCGAAAAGTAAAACTTCTCTAAAGCCTTACTACATGCAGCAAATATCAGTTCTAACTGACCTATTCTTTTATAAACTTGGTAAAAAAGCTGCTATCTTCATAAAATTTTAAGTTGCATATGTAGATAATGAAGTCACACCCTCACCCAAAGAAAGAATTGAAACAAACAAAAGAAGACTTATCCAACCAGCCTATGATTCACCAAGCTTGTCTATGTGAGCATTAAGCAAACAAGTCAGGCCTAGAAACTAAAATTCTGCTCTTAAAAACACAAAGTAACAAAAATATACTATTAAGGAGCAATACCTTCTCCCATCATTTCCTTGAACAACCGAAATGAATCATCTGCAAAACCCTGAACAGAAAATCCACCAATCATTACATTCCAAGACACCAAATCCCTTTCTGTCATAATCTCAAACAAATAACAAGCATCTGTCACTTTTCCACACTTTGCGTGCAAATCGAGTAACGCACTCAGCACAAACAAGTTCCTGGAAAACCTCACCTTTTCAATAAACCCATGAATCTGCAATCCTCTTTCCAAACTCCTCAAACCAGTACACGCCCTCAATGCACTCCCATAGGTAAACTGATTGGGCTTAACACCTGCTCGACACATCCCCGAAAACATCAGCAAAGCATTTTCATAATACCCACTCTGGGAGTACCCCGAAATCATAGCTGTCCAAGTAACAACATTTCTCTCAGGCAATTTATCGAACAATTTGCGGGAAGAAACTATATCACCAACTCTAACGTGGAATATGATCAATTTGTTGGCTAAGTGGAGATTGGAAGCAAACCCATTGGTTATAATGTGGCTGTGAATTAAACGGGCTTGCTTTTGAGCTTTCGTTTCCAGGCAGAGCTGCAGAATTTGCATGTAAAAAGAAGGGAGTGAGTGAGACTTGGGAGCTGAAAGAAGCAATTTTATGGCTTCTTGAAGCTTTCCCTTGTGGCATAAGGATTGGATGCTTTGATTCAGAAGCGCTTTGGTGCTGACGATGTTCATTGTGATTGATTTTCCAAATTTCAATGAGCAAAATGCATGCTATTGCCTCCTTGATTTCGCGCTAAAAAGAAGGCATTGGTTTCAAAATAAAAATAATAAAGACTTGATTTCTAATAGGCAAAACTCGAAAATGAGGACACAAAGCTTTCATTAAACTTTAAATTGAGTGTGTAAACTTTAACTATTTTAAAATAAGGACAAAGATTTCCAAACATCCAAGTTTTCCCTTTTTTTTAACATCATGGTTCAGACTTAACAGAGTTCCTACCTTCGTTTCTGAATTTAGTTATAGAGTTCATACCTTCAATTTTGACTAAATTCAGAAGATAATCCACTTTTATTTTAATTGACCCATTATACATCCTATTATTGCATATATATATATATATATATGTATGTATGTATATGTATATATTCATTCTGATGGCTTATAAATGTAACCATTGTATTATATGGAGCCAACTCTATGTTATCAAAAACAGGATTGTTATATTTCATCCACATTCAATGTTTCTAAATGCTTGAATTTCATTTTTCAAAAGTACATGAATTTAATATCTTTCAAGTACATATATCCCAAATTTAAATACACATCCCCAAAATCTACTTCTGCATTTCTTCAATCCAACATCCCACTCAGACATCAGAGATCATTTTCTAGTTCTTCGAGCTCCCTCTGGATTCTTTTGCTTCCGTGGGATGCAAGTGATAAAACAAGGTGTGATGTGCTGTTACTAAATTCAAGGCTGGGTGCAACTACAAGTTGCATATTCATGCTGTCAGTGCACAAAAGATGAATTAGAAATATAAGCAAAATCCAAATATGCACAAGATCATAAATACTGAAAGGGACGAGATGATACGTTTTAGATCATTTCCATTATCTCCCCTGTATAATTACTTGATCTTTCTTAACGAGTTCACATAAGTGTAACTTGAAAACTGAACAAAAAGCTTGCGAAACCTGAAAAATGGAAATCACTATCATCAATTTCAAAAGCAATTCATAAAGAAAATCACAGACACTGATTGACTGGATAAGATATATAAATAATGGAAGTTGATTTATTTTCACAACATAATCACCATGATATGATTTCAGAAGCACACATACCAAACCCATTGGCTTGAGTGTTGTGCCATTGCAAGGAAGCTCTTTTTGGGATCCTCATTAAGTATGTAATGCATCATTTGACGACGGTAACACATGGCACATAACTTGGACGACCAAATGTCAAGGGGCCCACTATACTTGCGTAATTTGTTAATACTGACCTAAAAATGATCAGCGAGAAGGAGAAAAAACTAATATCAAGTATGTGAATCACGGAGACCAAGAGGATTTGTCAAGCAAGAGCAACTATAAGGTTGAATAATTTCATGGTTGAAGGAAAAGAACAAGGGTATGCACTCAAAACATGCAATTTAATTGAACAGATCTGAAAAATTATATACTTTTGGACCATGGTTTAACGCTATGCCTCAATTAAAATACAAAATAAGGTGATGATACCACTATAAGATCTTGACCAGAAAAAACGCTCTTTTTGAATCCGTTTTTAAAGAACTAAATTCTATGGGAAATCAAATATTGAGATTTTATGCAGTTAATGGTTAAAAAAAAAAAAAGTAGAAAAACATTGTTAAATCTGGGCCTTCAGAGCAGTTTCAGCATCCCCAGCTTGATCTTTCTTCCTCCCCTCCTAATGAGGAAAAGAAGGAAAGAGCCAAGATACATTTTGCGGTTATTGATGCAATTTAACAGATATAGAAGGAGAAATAACACTACAGAAAAGAATAACATACAAGTTCCCAGGCTTCAACATTTCTTTGTGGAGAATCATACATAAATTTGCTGCATAAAATAAAAAAGAGATTAGAAAGGCATCTTGGGCACATTTTTACATTACATCAAACTATAGCTTGAAAAAAAAAAATTGCTGCTGTTTTCTTGATTTTTTGTTTCTTCCTCCTCTCATCTTGCACGATTTGTATATGACCTCTATTCCATTTCTCCATTTGTCCCTTTTCTCATTTTCTCACAATTATCTTCATTTATGAGCACCTTTTCTCTTCCTTTCTTTTTCTACTGCCTGTGTGAACCTCACCTGTGTTAACATTTTCCTTCTTTCCTACCCTTTTCTATTTTGCTTTCCTTTCTTTCTCCCTCACTCTCACCCCATCATTTCCTTAGCTCCAGAAAAGTTGCATGCAACTGGGATTTGAAAGTGTCAAATTATGTTTCGATTTTTGACTCTTGTTAAAATCAATCACCATGGATGGTTTTTTCCCCTCCCTGATATCTAGGTGTCCTAGTCTACTTGACTTATGAACAAATTCTTAAATGGGATTTGGAAAAGTTAAGGTTCAGATAGGGAAACTTTCGTTGATACCCTACTTGTTGGTGCGTGTAAACAAATATCTGTCTAAAGAGGTTCTTAAACATGGTAGAAATGCTGTGGAACACAAGTTATAATAACATTGTGCCCTGTGATGAAGATAACCTTTAGCAATGGATTGTAATACTATTAAATTATTCTATATAAATGCCATATGGAAAGACAGACAAAATTTATAAGGCATGTCTATTTCGAAATTCTAACTTAGTAACTTACCATACCCCATAATGCACATCACGATGGTTGCAATGACCAGAAACTCCATAGCTATCAAATGTAATAATCTGAAAAGCATAAAAAGATGGACATGAGAGGCATGAAACAAGACAAGCATGTTGCCTACAAGGACAGGAATATGAAATCCAAATCTGTCCTTTCAAAAAATTGCTCATGACAGCACAACCAATCCCAAAAGTAAACAATACTCTAATAAAGATACATCATGACCTAAAAATGACAACTAATAATATAACCTTGGATAAACAACCAGATGAAATGAGTGACTGGATCCAAGATCTTACCAAGTCAATACCATGACTACTAACTTCCTCTTCAATGATATCTGCCAAGAGATTATGGTTCCAGACTTGCCCAAAACCATCCTGATAACCCAAATGCCACAAATTCATTTTATCAACCACTACTAAAATTTTAAAATCTAAAATTAAAATGACAATGCAAACTTGCAGGAAAGGAGAGAAGAAGAAGAAACTTGACTCCAGAGTTGAATCAACCAGTTAATGCTTGTTAAATCCAAGCACAATGGCTAAATTAAGTTGAATGAACCGTTAAATGCTTATCTAATCCAAGCTTTACTCTGTCAAACATAGGTGGACAAATATAATGCACTTTAAGTTCCAAAGAAAACATTTTCAATGAGATATGCCCCTAAGAATATAGAATTAATAATTTGGGTTCAATAAATAACCTGCAAATCTGGGTGATCCAGAACCTTCACCTGTTGAAGATTAACCTGCATTTACAAATAGCACATGTTTAGATGAAAAACTGCTATTAATGACCTTGCAGAAATAACCACCTCATGTTGTGCACTTGTGCCTTTTCACCCAGTTCTCCTCAGCACTCCAAAAGAACATCTCTATGAAAAAAAATCCATTTCTCCTACTTCATTTGACTGGATATTCTGAGAATGTAACTAAGGTTTCGAACAAATGGACCACCAATGTAAACTGAAGTCTTGCAAGCTCCAAAATAATATGCATATTAACAAGACAGTTTTTTTAACTGCAAAGTTAACTTTTATTAAGAATGAGCACTAGCAAAGCTCGGATTAAGTTATCTTAGTAGTCTTACTTTGCATGAAGACAGCGTAGGGGACTCAACAATTAGATACCAGGGTATTCAGTTGATAACGAAACAACTCCCTAGCTCTCAGCATTGCTATAGATGGATTATATAAATCTCAACCAAGCTTTTGGGTGATTAACTCACCTTGAGGACTGCACAAGCACGATAGAGTTCATCTTTTCTAATGTTTCCCATACCATCTGCATTACCTTTATAGATGATGGGAAGTAAGAACAATAGCAAATAACAAAATAAATAAATAAATAAACAGATAAAAGAAAACTAATATCAGAAAAAGACATGACAAAGTTCCATTCCATTGCCTGATCCCCACAAACCCAAGTCCTCTATCTCAATATGGGAAGGGAGATCTTGGTTGGACAATCATCCCTTTAGAACAATCTTAAGTTGAAAGTCAAAATGTTGAGTAAAAGCCTATACTTTAAGGTAATTGAGAAATAATTTATAATGCATATTAAAAAGCATCTCTGTAACATATCTCCAACAGAGTTATGTCATAAATTCAACTTTTGAAGATAAAATTTAGGTAACATGATCTAAAAGGCTCTTTTAATGTGCTTCAATTTCAAAAGAAAGAAAGAAAACTTAACAGCTAAACCCAAGAAACTACTAAAAATATTCAGGTCACATAATAATGGAAGTGCATTACCTACTGACAAACATAACAAGTACAGATTATGCCCTCTTGCATTCAGGTAGCTTATTGTAGGAGTGAAGAACCTGAAGAAATCCCCCAAAAAGGGTTCAATGGTAGATAAAATATAAAAAACGAAATGAAGGAAAAAAAATTGCAAATGCATCATGAATGCAATTGAAACTTTCAAAGCAAATCTTGTCTCCCAAGAGACAGGTGTTCCACCTCTTGAACCAAAACAAACTTACTGAATAAAAAAAAACATGGTAAACAACTTACAAAACTGACCTGGATGGATTTACCAAAAATCTATAACTCACAGAGTACGAGAAATCTTAGTAGCAAAGATCATATAGTCATATGAGTAGTAATTGACATCAAAAGAGTAAGACATTCAGATAAGTAGGCTGTTTAAGGTTCAATATCTCAACATTTCATAGTTATTGTAAAAAACAAAATAACACTTATAACATACAAAGAATGTTTGTGGCTTTAAAAGTTAAAGCTTACATAGACTCGTCGTCAGGGTGAGCAATAATGAGCAATACAGTTCTCTTGCTAAAAGCTGCACCAGATTTCAGTGGATAAAATGGCATTAAACATAAACAATTTTAGACATGGGAATTTAGCAAGGCAACAACTTTTTTAAGAATTCACCCACCATCAGTCACAAACACGTCATTTCGCTGCGATGAAGATGCAAAGTAAATTTTACAAAGTGAAGCTACCCAGATGATAAAAAGTGATATACTGAAGAACAACAGCAATCCCATCTAGAATGCACCTACAATCAATCAAAACTCAACCCAAAAAATGACAACATTTTAATTAAAAAACAAGGAGAAAGAATCAACTTGAAGTTCAGAATTCACAACATAATCATAGCAAAGCAATGATTAAACATCCCAGAGTCCAGCTAACAAGTTTCTAAAATCTTTCAAAAAAAATTTTATGAAAATGGATTATACCTTGAAGATCCCGATTTCTTTAATGCGTTGGGTGTCGCTTCCTCGCCTTTATCCTAGTTCCTATCTCTGTTCCTATTCCATGTTCGGATTCCTCTCCGTTCCTTGTTTCCTCGTTCCAAGTTCATAGACTTCGATTCTTCGAAATTGAAGCTCTTCTGCGAGTGTCAAGGAAACGGGTCGGGTTGGAGTTGTTTGATGAGCTGCGTAATTCGGGTCACGGACCAATCCTAACCCACATTCCCTGACCCGGACTCGAGTGAGACCTAACTTGGATTTCTCATATACGGTTTTGTGAGTTAGTGAAGCCCAACTCGGATTTGGCCGTTGGGTTGGGTTGAGTTGAATTGGTGGGTTGGATTCACTGCCTAAGTTCCCTGTGGGAATTTTTTTTTTTTTGGGTGAGGGGGTTTCCACTTTTAAGGCATGTTTGGTTGCCATAAATCTTGGAAAAACAATAGGACTCAGCTGAGGAAGCTGGTAAAAATCAAGCCATGACTTGGTCTAGGAAGGAAAGAATCCAAGATCAAAAGTATATAATCGACTATACAGGATATAATTAATTACATGTATTGGATTGTGTTTCGTAATAAAATATACGAGAAGAAAAGTTTTTCGAATAAAATAATTGGTTATTTTGAAAAACAACTAATTATATGATTATAATTGATTATGTCAAAAAATAATTGGCTATAAACTCTAAAATAATCGATTAAATTAGTTTGCGTGAATTTTTGTGCCATGAATACTAAAATCCTAAGCCAGTCGGATAATCTTGTAGGCTCATTTTCCCTCAATTGTTTTTCCAGGATCTATGGCGACCAAACAGGGCCTTAGAGTGTGTTTGGTTTCCTACTATGTAAGAAAATGCATTTTTCTTGGTATTCTTAGGAAAATGCATTAGGTTTCCTAAAAAATTTCCTAGGAAGCTGCTCATATTTTAAGTCAGTTTAGTTGGAAAAAAAAGTTTTTCTAGGCACAAAATCGGAAATTCAATGAAGGATTATAGTTGTTTATAACTGAATATAATTAATTATTAAGGAAAAATTTTGCAAGTTTCTTGATAAGGTATTATTTATGAGGTGTTTTTTTGCCTAGAATTAGATCTCGGGCAATATAGCTTACTATAATGCAATACAGTTGGTTATTTTTCATTTCAATCAATTATAATTGATTATAAGTAATAAGAGATAATTATTTTTTATGAATTAACTTATTTTACTTGTATGTTATATAATTCAAACTCAAAAACCATTATTTCAATTGAAAAGAGCTTTTCATTAAGCTACTTAAATCAGTGATAGTTAATTATAAGTTGTTATAATCAACTATAAACCTATCTTAAATTTTGTATATGATTTTGAGTCCAAACCAACAATTTTAGCGTTGGTTTCATGAGTTTCACTTTCTCAAAAAAAAGTTAGAAACCAAACACAAATTTTAAGCCTAAATTTTTTATTGAGCATTTTAATTTTTATTTAAGCAAATAAGTCCCTAAACTAAAAGATTTAAGCAATTTAACCACTTTTTTTACAATAAACTTAATATCTATTTATATCTCACTTATATAAATAAAATATTAACATATCATTATCTATGTAACAGATATTAATATTATTTATGTAAGTAAAGCATAAATGAGAGTTAAGTCTTTTGTCAAAAAAATATATAAACTTATTTGATAATATATACAAATTTTAAAAAATTATTTTTATATCACTCCTCAAAATGAAAAATACCATATTACATTATTTGCGCGGTGCAATGACAAATTGTTTCCGTGATCCCATGTGCGCGAAGTCATATGGAGAGAATAAAGATCATGAGAATAATAATTTATTAATTTAAATGGGAAAATTTTGATTTTTTTAAAATAAAATTTTTGAGTTTAAATTTTATAAATAGAAAAACATATGTTAAGAGAATTTTTTTAATAAAATCTGAAGTAATTTGATTTTAAATTAATTAAAATTTAATATAATTAATGAATATTGATAGGTTAATAAAAAAAATAAAAATAATAAGAGCATAGCAAAAGATTTTTTTTTTTTTTTGAAAAAATTCATGGTCGAGTACGAACAAAACATTGAATTATAATAAAGAAGATAACGACAAATTACTTACTGTAGCTTTGATCATACCGTACTGGCGAGCCCCAGAAGTACCTTTCAGATTACCCCTACGAAACTACCCAGCGCCTTCGTCTGCCTCCCCTTTCTTCCCCACGACGCGAATATTCCATCTACTTGCCATAATAATAATTATATAATAGGTTAGTGCTTATTAGTGGGATTAGTAAAGAAATTAGATTAAAAAATATAAAAAATTATGTTATTTTAATAAAATATTATAAAAATTAAAATAATTAAATTTTTATTTAAAATTTCAAATATTTTAGGTTTTATTAATGAATATTCATTA